TCCTTTCTCTTAATCCTCAGCAAGCACATCTCACATGATGATGAAAAGCATTTTCTCAATCTGTTTTAAATAAGAAAAATATTCTATTTGAAAGCTTCAGAACGTTACTGTTTGAGCATCCTGCAAGATCTTGTTTTGTGAATTCAAGTTATAGTGGAGTTAAACTGGTTCTTTGGAATTTCAGACTTCAATTGCTGGTTCAGGTTGTGCAGGAATATCCAGTGTGGGGAATCAAAATTTTGGAAACCTTCCAAACTCACTTATGCGTTAAATAGTCCGGTTAAGACAAAAGGTTATTAATAAAACTCATGGAAAATATCAAGATGAATAATTTTATTTTTTGTTGCTCAGATTATTTTCAATTACAATCTCAGCTTGACCTTCAAAAATAGCACAATTTTGTTTTTTTGCTATAATCATTCAATATCTTGGCCCAATTTTCCTTGGTGTGGTCTGCTCTAAAATGCCTCAGATAGTTGACCATGAAGAGTTGTCATGGATGACTAGGTTGGTTGGATTAAATTTAGTATAGTATTGTAACAGAGAATTGGTTCAGCCCAAGAAAAAACTCAGTTGGTTGTAGGTGGTGCTGGAAGCACCAAGAGTTGCATCCTCTTCCACAATAGGCTGTTGAGAGAAGACCTTTTACTTAGAGTAGGTGGTGCTGACTATTTGGACTATTTGCATATGTACTAGGCAGGTATTAGCCAATAGTCAGATAACTATATAACACTAGAGCTTTTATCAGTTGAGAGAGGTGCTTCGAACATGTGAATATCAGATGATCACAAGCTATTTCTGTGATTGACAATGGATAACCCCACATTCAATTTAAAGTTAATTCCTGAGTTTGACTGATTGGCATCTGGTTTTCCAGTGTTTGAATGGATAGAGAAGCTGGAACTCATTTGCAGGTGATGTGGAGTGAAGTCTTTGGAGCACGTGATCCCTTTGAGACTTAAGGGCAGAGCTTTTGCAGTTTACCAACAGTTGAATGACAAAGTAAAATCTGACATTGACCAGATAAAGACTGCCTTTGTTACAGCCTTTGCTACAGATTTGTTTAGGGCATATGACTGGTTCATACCTGCAGTATGGTGACTCTGTGGATGTATACCTGGCTGAATTAAAGATGAAATAAAATACTGAAATAAATGGAGCATCTACTCAAATGAGTATCCACTAAAAATAATGTTTAAAGTAATAAAATTGTAGACTCCCGTTTTGAGTATATTTCTATAGCCTCATTACACTAGCTGGCCGTCGTTGCCATAGCAAGTTTTTATGGGGTGGTGTCGAAAGACCTATGACCAAAAGTTCTCGGACTGGTTACCAACCAAGGCTAGAGTGGCCAGTCTACTCTGGTATTAACCCCTTATCCATCAAAGCAAAGTACCAATTCCAGTCAGGTTCATTAGATTCACTTACATGCAAATACCCTTCTCTCCCCAGCTATGGGTTAATTAGTAAGATGTGTATCACTAAACCATTCTCCAAAAATAAAATTGTGTACAGAAAATATTTATATTTTAGCATAAAATAACCCATAGAGGTTGGTATGTTGCAAAACAACCAACCTAACAATATTGACTATAAGGATGGAGAGAATAAATATCACTGCCTGGTAAGGTAGTTAGTGGGAATTTGGTTACTTATTCATGGTCTTCTGTCAACTATTGTGGCATGGCAGTAATAAAACCTTTGTCAGGATATTTGGTGACAGAACTGTCTGTGGAGGAGTAGATTCATGTCTTTCTAAAGAACATAATCAGTCTTAAATTTGAACTGTTTACTAAGTCTATTTTCCAAGTTGGCAACAGATACACCAGTTCCTGTACTCAGGATTCTTTAAAGCAAACTATTAGTCTGTAATTTGAAAATTCTGAAGCCTTTGAAGGTTGGCATGAAGAAGTGCACCTGGCTGTAAAATGTGTAAAGAGTTAATGAATCCTGAAAAAGCAAACATCTGTGAGAATTTAGAAAATAGCATTTAAAAAAATGCTAATGATAAAAAAAAAGCAATGAAAGATAAAGACAAAAAAAAAAAGAAAAAAATACCTTGATAAAATTTTCTAAATGGGGAAACTAAAATCCTCAGACATGTCCCTAATAATACCTTGGGGCCAAAATTGCCAATAAATATCAACACTTAAGCAACATGTGTCTATATTTTTAGAGAAATTTAATTTTTTTTTTTTCCTTTTTCCAATTAATCCTTTCAATGGAAATAGTAAAACCCTCAGAGGACATAAAATAAATCCTAGACAATTTTTTTTTTTTTGTGTGGCGGTGAGAAAAATGTAGGAAAGGAGGAAGACATTGCAAGGAATTAAAATATATTAAACTGTTTTTTTTTCTGCTCCAGGATAATGTCAGACTTACAGACTGACTTCTGGGGAATGTGGTGCCATTTTTAAAAATCTGAAGAGCCTTTGATAAAAAATCAATTTTGATGTTAAAACTCTGTGAATTTAGAATGACCTAATTGATTCAATGTTCTGTTGACGTAGTTCTCATCTGGCAACTGGTAAAAGATTGGACCTGATCTTGAAATCGGGTCAATATTATAGCAACGTCATATGGGAAAGGATGAAAGAATGTTATTGCTTTGAATCTATAACAATAAAATGAATTTATTGAGAATATTGTATCAATATTCGTTTTTGTAAGACAGATCGATATGATTTCGATGGATTTTAATTTTTCATCGTTGTTCTTGCTTTAGTATAATAAACAACAGAAGGAAAAGTTTGGTGTGTTATGAAATAACCATTTCTGAATTAATTCCTTAGATTTTAAACTTTGTTGTTTTATTTTTTTATTTTTTTTTTATTTTTCATCCAAATCAATATCCCTTCAGTGATCATGGGGTGATAGCACCTGTTAGGGTCCCAGCTATGGGCAAATAGTTAATCCCCAAACAAAAATCAAAACACTTTCTTTTTATGTGCCATGTCCTTTCAGGATGCAGGTGATCATAGCTCTTCACCTCCCTCGATCCCTTGCAGCTCTCAACAAGTTCCTTCCTTCCACTTCCTCTCTTAGACCACATTCTGTCATCCACTTGCTTAAGCCCACCCTGTATGTCACATGTTGTTCGAGTGTCTCTCTTTCCCTGAGTATCAGATTCTCCAGGACCTCTTTCTTCCTCATGTGTCCCAAAAACTTCAGCTGCCTCTTCCTGGTGTTAAGTACGAGTATAAAAATACCAGCAATAAATTTTTATTAAAAAAATTACTAATAATACAGGTCCTGGGTATGACGTTAAACTGCATCCAACAGCAAGGCCTCTGATCAGGAGGTTTTGAGAATCGTGGAACCACTTAATTGCTGGTTTTTCCCAGGACCACCCGGACCCAGGGTGGTAGCACCTGTTAGGGTCCCAGCTATGGGCAAATAGTGAACTCCTAGATTTTTCCAGGTCTTACCCACATCCCGGCTATGGCGATAAACTACATCCACGTCCCGGGTATGGCGATAAACTACATCCGCGTCCCGGGTATGGCGATAAACTACGTCCAACAGTAAGGCCTCAGATAATGTTTTTGGAAAAATGCTGTTGCCAGCTATACGTTTTTTGGAAAAATGTTGTTGCCAGCTATATGTTCTTGAAATATCCTCAAATTATGTTTACAAAGTATATATATTTAATATATATGTGCAAACTGGATTTAGCATTAAATGACCCATAGTGGTTGATATGCCATAAAACCCCAAACAACCAGCCAACCTACTAATAATACATTTTTATATGAAAATTACCAGCAACAGTCTTTTTTTTTTTTTTTTTTTTTTTTATAGTAAAATTACCAAAACACAAAAGCTATAATAGATCAACAAGAAACTATATATCTATAAAACATATGTCTACTCTGAAAGTATAAAATTATGTTCGGAATATGAAGTTGAAAGCATTAAATAACTTCTAGAGGTTGATGTGTCACTAAATGGCCAAAATAAAACTAAAGTGATCATGGCTCTCTATACTTATTGTCTCATCTGTGAATTGCCATGATTTCTTGAAAAGATGGAGTAATTTGCCCATTCATTGCCTTTGGAATTTGAACTTGGCTTTCCACTTTGTGCCATTAACCATTGCACTACCAACATGTCATTGAATCTTAGTTTTTAAATCTTAAAACAATTTCCAGTTTTAAAAATTTAACAGAATTGCTTTTAAGTAGGTAATGGCAGTGGCTTGAGGAGGTAAAATCAAATGACAATGAGTGGCCAAGTCTTCATAATGTGAGAGGTGAAGTTTTTCTTGCTAAGTATGGGCTGAGAGAAAAGCTGCTCTGTCACAAAATGCAGATAGCTTTAATCAAGGTGAAAGAAGAAATGTATCACAATACATCAACCCTTATGTAATTTGTATACCAATTATAATTGCCACTCACTGCCAAAAGTGTCTTAAATGGAAATGCAAGCAGCATTATAACAGGATTTCACATCAGTGGAAGATGTTCATTTGATCTGATGTCTAATGTTGTTTTTTTTTTTTTTTTTTTAAAAATGAATTTAGCCTAGGAAATCAATGACACTAGGATGCACTCTGAGAAAACAAGTTGTTGGTGGCAGTGTGATGGTTTGAGCAACTATCCAAAGGAAAAAACTGGGTATTATTGCTCATGTGGATCAAAATCAATAATAGCAGAATCTGTTATATGAACTGATAAAAAAAAAAAAAAAAATCTACTCTGAGTGGGCTAATTTCAAATCCAACAGATGCTAAATGGTTTCAATATGGAAATAAGTAGTAAGACTATCAGGCTTCAGCATCTGATGAAGACTTTATTACTTCCTCAAAATTCCAGCGCACTTTACTCAAACACAGGTTTGTCTTGCATACTAACCTGAACGCTATAAAGAGGTGAAACAAGTCTGAACAGCTTTTACACTTTATATTATTTCTACTTTTGCTCAGATACTATTCTACATTCTACTAATATGAATACAATATGTATTAATATCATTGATGACCAGGTACATTATAGGCTTATGTTGAAACACCAGTTCCCATATGATCACTGAAGTTAAGCAATGTTGAGTGTAGTGAGTACTTACATGAGTGACCACTTGGGAATACCTAGAGCTGTAAGATTGAATGTGCAGCTGTTGTAATGGATAATGGCTTGGAATTGGAACGTGATTCTTTGATTTCTAATATCAGTTGGGTTTCTTGTATTCACTTATGTGTAAATACTCTTGGGGAAAGGTACAAATCCACCTTTTCTCCCAGCTATGGGTTAATTACCAGGACTTTTATCATTAAATAATTAAAATTTCCAAAAACTTCTTAAACTCCCAAACTATTTTCTGGTTTGAAATAACTTTAAAAAAAAAAAAAAAACATTTTCATGGCAACAGTCTTTTATCTGATAAGTGACAACTTTTCTGCTGAATCATGTGCCTTATCACACTGCACAAATAGTACAGGAATGGTTTCAGGTACATGAATACTTTATTAACTTGCTCTAGTTACCAAACACTGCAGCTCTTAGGGGATATGCTGAACAAGCAACTTTATGCAGAACTTCTGACACATAAGTTATAGCAGTTAAATATTCTTATTTTTTTTGCTTCCTGTTGCCAGATACAAGAGGAAATTTTTGGAAGTATTGCAGATCCTTTGCCTGATCTGGTAAGAGCTGTTCTCTAGACATCAGGAGGATCAACACCTTATTAGGCAGGAAGTCATATTTTGGTTTGTGCTTGTTTGTTTGACATGTGTAAGAGTGGATCAATAAATCTGAAGTGTGACATTATTTGTTGAATTTAGATTAGGAATTTTAACTGAAAAAGTTCAATATTTATGAATAATGCCAAGACCTTAACAAAGGAGATCATGTAAAAAATTGTAAAGTGATTTTTTTTTTTCATAATTTAATTAGATTTATTGATTCATTGTATATACTTGAGTATAGTAAATTTTATCAGATTTTTATGCAAAAAATATGGTATCAAACAGGCAATTTTTTTTTAAGAAGAGGTTAAAAATCATTCATTTTCAGTGACCAGTTGCACTGTACACAGGTAAATGTTTTTTTGGAGGAGTGAAAATTCATAACAAAAATATTCAGGGGTTGAACTGTGCATAAAAGTTGGCTTGTCTACTATATATATATATATATACAAATGTTAATCATAACTGTAAACATTTCTTATAAATTAAGTAATAAATATTTCATTAGAAACAAAGAACTGAACTGTTATATAATATCAGTTCTCCTATAATTGGTTTTTTTTTTTTTTTTTTTTTTTTTTTTTTCCCAAAGTGTAGATTAAATGTGGCACAAGGCCGAAAATATGTGGCGCCCGGTGAGGATCGGACTCACTACTCAATCATAACTGTTCTAGCAAGACAAGCTTGCTAACCATTACACCATGCCAAAGTATGCCAGTCATCCTATATGGCAATCTCCTCACAGATAAAGCAAGAGAAAATGTAGTTCTACATAAGTATGCTGAGAATACCATGGATTGAACAATGACAAAGTTTGAGAGACAATGGAAACAAAAAGGACACTTATACTTGATTCAGTGCTTGAGGAAAGAGGGCTTGGAAAATTTGACACTCACAGGACATATTGAAAGCAAGAGAGACAGAAGGCAGCAATACATGACCAACCTGGCCTGCTTGAGTGAATGGATGGTGGCACAGGGAATCTTATTAAGAGCTACAAAGAACTGAAGGGACATGGTATATAGAAGATAAGTGTTATATTTTAGTAGGCACACATATTTAAGTCTACTTCCATTGAAATTAATGTCTCTCATTCCAGTGGGGCTTTCTGATATCTGTACTGATCAATATTGATTTCCCTGTTAAAAAAAAAAAAAAAAAGTGATGTCTACTTAAGCAAATATACCCCCTAAATTTTTATAGTAACATAAGAGAGGGACTAAAAATTTTGATTGTTTTGTAATATTTCAGAATTTCTAACAAAATAAATATTTTTTTTATTAGAGATTCAGGACAAGAAATTTTCAGCACCTCCTTATACAGACATGAGTGTTTAGAATGTTTAGCTTACAAGAAAATATGATGACTTATTTTGTGGAGACATTGCATAAAAGGCAGAGTGTCAGAAATTTTTGACAGCTTTTAATTGTTTTTGTCTGGGTTGAACAAGAATTCAAAAAATTATTATTTTTTGTGACAAAATCCTTTTAATGTTTTTTTTGCAAAGGTGGTAGAATGTCTGTTAGAACTTAAAGTGGAAATGGTGTTGAAAAGTTAAGTACTGTGTTAATGCAGTTGTCAGTGTTTTGCATGAGAAAATGCAAAGTGCATAACACTTAGGAAACTTTCTTAGGGACAAGAAAATAAGATAAATGAATGTGTAGATTTTCTGATTGTCTGTGTGGAACTCATTCTCTTTGAAGATTTAAGATGCTGCCAAGAAAAAAAAAATGGAGTAATATCTTTCTTGGAAAGAATTTTAATTCTTCTAAAAAGTATGAGAAAGAAAAATATTATGTTACCCACCCCTCACATACTTTTTTTTTTTTTTTTCTTTTAAACAATGGATTCCAGTAAAATCAATAACAAAGAATAACCAATTGTGCAAGAATAGAAGTGAACACAGGGGAAAGTTCTTTTTAGGTAAATTTCTTTAAAGGCAATGACAATTAATAGGTGTTGTTTTTTTTTAGTGATTTGAGTTTTACAGTTTATCAATCTTTCTCAGGTTATTTATTATTATTTTTAGATTGTAGGAATTTTTTGAGAAATTGAATTTTTTGAATTACTGATACAAGTCCTACTATTTGACCCATAATTAGGGTAAGAGGTGGATTCTTTTCTTTCCCAAGGGTATTTGTACGTAATTGATTATAAAGAACCCAACTGGAATTGGAACTCAGCTCTCAATTAATAATTAAAATTTTCCTCACACACATAATTTTACAGCAAAAAAATTTCCGTACCTAAATGATTCCAGTCTTTGATTTTTTGCATTTAACACCCATGTGATTTTACCAGTTTTTCAATGTGATATAGCTTGAAGCCCAGGCATTAAAATTAAAATTCTACATGTTTGTGGTGGGCCATTTTTATTATACAGGCTTAAATTTTTTTGGTATTTTTTTTTGTTTGCTCTAGCTCTATTGACAAATTCTTATCTGGTTTTGAAAGTTGGTCCCCAAATCTTATATACCATTATATAGAAGTCTAGTTGACACTGATTTTAATAAACTTAAAAAACACAAAGTAACCAAGTCATAGTTAGTTCCCAGAAAGTTTGTTGGGTATCTGATATTACCCTTCTTTTTTTTTTTTCATCCCAACAAGGCAACAAAATCAGGGTAATGCTGGGGTTGTCTCATTGAAAGAACAGAAAACAGATGTACAGAAAAATAAAAATTGATATTGCATTTAAATTTTTGAAGAAATCCATGGGAAGCAAACATTCCACAATATAGTGAAGAAAAAAAAACTGTTAAAATAGATTTTATCTTTATGTTTTTACATTTCAATTTTGGAAAAATGGCTGTGCTTCAAATCTTTGCTAATTTATGGATTATTCTATCTTTCCCAAATAAAGTTTTTCCTTTCAGTTCAAATTAATCTTTGTGTTATTACCTGAATCCAAATGCTTTTGAATCTTCTATGAAACTGAGGTTTTCCTGTAAAAAAGCAATCATTCTCATTAGAAAAAATGCTTTCCTTATTCTTGTTCCTTTAATGAAGACATTGTAAATATCTAAAAAAAGAAATTGTTTTTGGATGAGACAGTCATATGAAAATAAGTGCATGCAAGCAGTTAAAATCAGCACCTGTTTTCAATAAATCATTACCTGAGGCAAACGTGTCTGTTTCAGGTCAGTTAGTATTCAATATTTGGTTTAAGATATGTCTGTGTCACCAGTTGCTATGTAAATCTGTGGAAAACACATCACAAGTAAAAAAATAGTATTCCTTTTGGAGGGTCTCCCAGAAACGTAAGACTATCAACCTCCTCAGAAACAGGATACTACCAACCTGCCCCCCAAATGACACTTTTTATTACTTCTTTCTTTTAGGATTTTTACTTGCTTTTGTTTTCATATGTTATAGTTTTGTATCCCAATTTAAATTACAAACATTTATTACAGATATTTTAATAAACTATAATTTTTTAAACATAGAAACCCATTTTTCTAATTGTTGTTAATTTCTTTTTTATTTTTGAAAATACAATTTTTTTCATGGAAATTGTTCTGATGAACTTTTGTCTATATTGAAGAAAAAAATTTAATATGCAGCACATAGACTAACAGAAAGATCTTCACCATAATTTACATTTAAAATGACTGTTTCCCTAAGAATTTTCTTCTCACATTTTCTTTTGGAAAAATTTCATATTGGGCTCTTTTTTGGTTAACTTTGGTCTTCAAAAATTTAATTGCAATGTTTTTTTTTTTATCTTCATCTATCTTAATTACTGCTCTTTTATGGTTCTGTTTACTTACTGTTAGTTTATTCATTTTCACATTTTAACATCTTGTCTCTTATTGGCGTTATTAAAATAATTTTTTTTTGAAATAATTAAAAAAAAAAATGCTTTAAAAAAACAAAAAATAAGTCTGAAGTTTAATGATAAATGAAGCATATCAGATTTTTCTTTTTTTTCAAATATTTTTCCATTAACCAACATGGCTACATTTTATTAGTCCTCTCCTTTTAATTGAAGCATTTTTTTTTTTTTATTCATTTGTCCCTCCCCCTCAATGAATTTCTAACAGTTCACACTTGGTGAGTGTTGCTCAGTATTCAAGAAGATTGTCTCAGGCTGTTTGAATGATGACTAGAGTGCTAAAAGTGAATTTTTTATTACTACCCAGTTTATATACTATGTCTTTATACTGTACATTGAAGATCAAGTTTTTTTTTTTATTATTATTGGTAACAAATTAATGCAAGTTTTAATGAGAGAATAGAACAATTTAACATTTAATTATTTTTATATTTTATTTTCTTTTTTTCATAGAAATTTGACATGATTTTTTATAAAACTTTTTCTTCTTTCTTCAATCTGTTTTTTCTTCTCTTCTTTTTGTTCTTCTTTCAAATATTTTTGTTCTCAGTTTTATGAATCTCTTTTTTAATTTAGATATATATTTTTTTATTTTTCTTCTCTGACATATCCAAAACTTCTAAAATTTTGCTCTTATCTCCCTTTCTTTCCAGCATCTCTTCTTCATAATCTTTCTAACATTTCATCTTTGCCATGTGTTATGAACCAGTCTTCTTTTTTTTCTTCATAATGAATCAAATATCAGAAAAATGTCTTGCCATTCTTCTCTTTTTTTTTCTTCTCTTAAAGTTCCTTTTTTCTTCTCTTCTCATCTTTTGGTTCTTCTGTTCATCTTTAAAATTCTTCTCTTTTTCTAGAAATGGATACCATCTAATTTTTTATTCATCTCTTCTCTCTTCTCCCCCACTTCTTCTCTTCTTGTCTTTTTTTATTTTATTTTTTTTTCTTCTTCTCTTCTTTCCAAGAAAATTTCTTTTAAAATTTAAAATCTTTGTCCTTTTCAAATTCATTACGTTCTTGGAAAATATTTTTCTTGCATTATCAAAATTGGGATTCTGTAGAAAAAAAAAATACCCAAAAAGTGAGATAAATCATGTCTTTCTCTCTCTTATAAAGTTTGAAAAATCTTGAATAATTTTCATTTCTTCCATGAAATAATTCCCAATTCTCAATTCTGATAATTTCAATTTTCTTCTTTTGTTTTTCTCTTTTTTCTTTTGTTCTTCTATGGAATTTTTTTTTTTTCTTTCTTTCTTTTTTTTTTTTTTCTTTCTCTTCTTTTTCTTCTTTCTCTCTCTCTCTTTTTTCTCTTCTCTTCTCTTCTTTTTCTTCTTCTCTTCTCTTTCTTTCTCTTCTTTCTTTCTTTTTTCTTCTCTTCTCTTCTTTTTTTTTCTTCTCTCTTTCTTTTTTTTTCTCTCTCTTTTTCTTTCTTTTTTCTTCTTTTTTCTTTTTTTCTTCTTCTTTCTTTTTTCTTTTTCTTTTCTCTCTCTTCTTTCTTCTCTCTTTTTCTTCTCTTCTTTCTTTTCTTTCTTTCTTCTTTTTTTCTTTTTTCTTCTCTTCTTTTTCTTCTCTTCTTTCTTTCTTTTCTTTCTCTCTTCTTTTTTTTCTTCTCTTTTTCTTTTTCTTTTCTTTCTTTCTCTTTTTTCTTCTCTTCTTTCTTTTCTTCTTTTCTTTTCTTTTTTTTCTTTTCTCTCTTTCTTTTTCTTTTCTTTTCTCTTTTCTCTTTTCTTCTTTCTTTCTCTTCTTCTTTCTTTTTCTTCTCTTTCTCTCTTTTTCTTCTCTTTTTCTTTTCTTTTTTCTCTTCTCTTCTTTTTTTCTTTTCTCTTTTCTTTTTTTTTTTCTTTTCTTCTTTTTTCTTTCTTTTTTTCTTTCTCTCTTTCTCTTTTTTTTCTCTTTTTTATTTTTCTTTTCTTTTTTTTTTTTTTTCTTCCTTTTCTTTCTCTTTCTTTCTTTCTTTTTTTCTTTTTTCTTTTCTCTCTTTTTTTTTCTTTTTCATTTTTCTTTTTTTCTTTTTCTTTTCTTCTTTTCTTTTTTCTTTCTTCTCTTCTTTCTTTCTTTTTTCTTTTTTTTTCTTTCTTTCTCTTCTCTTCTTTCTTTTTTTCTCTTTTTCTTTCTTTCTTTTTTTTTCTTTTCTTTTCTCTTCTCTTTTTTTTTTTCTCTTCTTTTTCTTTTTTCTTTTTTTTTTTTTCTCTTTCTTTTTTTCTTTTTTCTTTTTTTTCTTTCTTTCTTTTCTCTCTTTTTTTTCTTTTCTTTTTTTCTTTTTTTCTTTTTTCTTTCTTTCTTTCTTTTCTTTTAAAATTTTTTTCTCCTTTTCTTTTCTTTCTTTTTTTTTTTCTTTTTCTTCTTTCTTTTCTCTTCTTCTCTTTTCTTTTCTTTTTTTCTTTTTTTTTCTTTTTTCTTTCTCTTTTTCTTCTTTTTTTTTTTTCTTCTTTTTTTCTCTCTTTCTTTTCTCTTCTTTTTTTTTTTCTTTTAATTTTCTTATTTTTTTCTCTTTTTTTCTTTTCTTTTTTTTTTTTTTTTTTTTTTTTTTTTTCTTTTTCTTTTTTTCTTTCTCTTCTCTTTTTTTTTTTCTTTCTTTCTCTTCTTTTCTTCTTTTCTCTCTTTTCTTTTTCTCTTTTCTTCTCTTTTTTCTTTCTTTCTCTTCTCTTCTTTCTTTTTTCTTTTCTTTTCTTTTTTTTTCTTTCTCTTTCTTCTTTTTTTCTTTCTTTTTTTTTTTTTTCTTTTTTTTCTTCTTTTCTTTTTTTTCTCTTCTCTTTTCAAATTTTCTTTTTCTTTTCTTTTTTTTTCTTTCTTTCTTTCTCAAAATTTCTCTTTCTTTTCTTTTTTTCTCTTCTCTTCTTTTCTTTTTTCTCTTCTTTTTTCTTCTCTATTTTTCTTTCTCTTCTCTTCTTTTCTCTCTTTCATTTCTTTCTCTTAATTTCTTTTAAAACTCTCTTTTTTTCAGTTTTCTTTGCATTTTTCTATTGGCATCTTTTTCTTTTAGAAAATGTGTAATTTTAATTGAATTCCTTGACTTTCTAATTTTCTTATAATTTAAGCTTTTCTTATTTACTTTTAATTTCATTTTGGGGTGATTTTTATTTAAATCTTTTACCAAATTTCTTAATTAGGTTTGCTGGTATATTTGATCATTTTGTGTGAATGGATGGTATGAAGAACTGAAATTCTATATAAACTCAAAAATTTTTTAGGGCAACAAATTCAAAATTTGTGAAAATGTTTTTTGTAATTCAAAGGATCTAAAGGGTTTCCAAATAAAAATGATTTTTTTTTTTGGAAATCTTTTCATTTCTATTATAGTTATCTTTCTTTCTTCATTTCTACCAATATATTGATAATGCTATTTTTAGGAATCAAAATACCATTTTACTACATGGTAATTTTTTTACCTGCTATGAGATCAATAAATGATTTTATGTATGGAAATTCATGTTGATTTTTTAAATTTGGTTTTGCCAGGGTTCTATGACCCTAGTATATTTAATGTAATATTCTATTTTATTTTTAATTTATTTCCAATAAAATATATGCTGTAACACTTTTTATTTTAAACAATTTCAACACTTCCAGTTTTTTGGTGTTTGTGTTCATTTGCAACTGTAAGAAATAATTTATATTTTTTAGCAAAATGTCCTTTTTTATAAAATCAATTTTTTATATTTTTCAAATTTTTTTATTTTTTTTCTGTTCTGTCTTGGATGCCAGGGACATTCCTCACACACCGGACATTGTTCAAAATTACCTCCAATTCATTTAGCATTTAACCAAGAATCTTTTTTCACCATTGATAAAAATTTTCTTTCTTTAACTAAATTTCAATTTTCATTTTAATTTTTATTTCTCAGACAGTATACCTTGTTCTTCATAAAATTTTATATGAATCCTTATAAATTTACCACTTTAAGTGATTTTAAAGCCCAAGACTACAAAAAAAAGTGGGCAGATTGTCCTAAACTATAAAATAATGGTCTGTGAGACTGTTTTTTTAACCTCGTTAACCCATATCCACCTGGCTTCAGTTTAAACTTATACTGCTTTTTTTCATATATCTAAATGACAATTATAAATTAATTTAGTAAAGTGAAACTTTACAAGTTTCCATTTAAAATAAAAAAAATTCAAACATTAAGCAAAATGGTCACAATATATGGTTGTGGAGAAGTGGGGTCAGTTTAAACTAATGACAGGAGCATATGGGTTAACATTTTTTTTTCTCCAGTGTTTTTCTCCTGTTGATTCATATCTAGACATTGTTGTGTAAGTTTTGAGTGAGATTTGAGATTCTTAATTACTACTTAATAATTATTTGTTAATTTGTTGGTAACCTGTTTGAATTTTAGTATTTTTGAAAGTAATTAAGATTTTAAACATAAATGATTGAGAATATCCGCATAGTACAAATAACTGAAATTAAGAAAAATATTTGTTTTTTAATAAAAATAAAGATGCTGTGCAGGTATATAAAATGATAACCCTCAGTCAAATTTTGTTTTAACATATGATTAACTTTTCTTTTTTTTTTTTTTTTTTTTTTTTCTTAATACTGATATTGCCTTGTTAAATAATAATTTTTCCAATCATTTGTGGATCATTTGCCAAAACACCTGCTAGGGGGCATTCTTTAAGCCTATAAATAGGCAATGATATTCTCACTCACCTTCTTTTACAGCTTTTTAGCTCTGGCTTTTAGTGATGTTGTTTCATGTAGATAGGAACACTGCTGACAAGTGTGTTTGCTTCTTTGGTCCTTCTTTGACTTTTCAACTCTCTCACAGATGCATATGCATATGTCTGTCTATGAAAAAAATGACAATAAACTACAAATAAGGACTCTAAATAGATTTTGAATGAAATCAACAAACCACCACCTTAATTGTTTTAAGTCCACCCTGACCTGGGTGGTAGGTTTTCTTAGGGCTCAACTATATTTTCAGTAGTTAATCCTCAAAACTGAGGTCAAAACATCATGAAAGTATAAATATATAAAACATTATGAAAGTATAAATATATTTTTGCAAAGAAAAAAAAAACTACCAGCAATACATTTTTGTAAAAAAAAAAAAAAAAAAAAAAAAAAAAAAAAAATTACTAAAGCTCCCAAGAAAATTAAATGACCCATAAGGAGTTGATATGCCACTAAGCAAACACGCATGTGCTTGTTACACTCTTATAACTTATTTTAAAGTTTTTTCCTTTTGTTACAATTGTCCTTTTGTTAACACCTGCATTGTTTATTTTGTTGTATTCATTTTTGTCTGGACTCAATTTGAGTCCATCAATATTGTTTATGGGATAAATGTCCCAGGAGCCTGTAAATATTTACTATTCAAAGTGTTGAGATTCCTGCAACATAATGGTAACTAATATTAATATTTACCCAAGCATACTAATATTGCATAACACATTAATTCATTCATTCAATTCCCCAGCAACTTTTGTGGCATGCCAGCAATGAGGCATCAAGATATGCTTATGGGAGAAATTGAATTATAAACAACCTTGACTGGAATTTAAAGTTAGTTTGTTGATTCCATTTCGTTGTCTCCTACACTTTTACCATCTGTAATTTTCTCAGTTGGCACCAATTCCACTGATATTTGGGTCAAGATATGCCTTTAGTAAACTACAAAGAGTTGCTAGTGATTGATTTTTAAATTACTCTAGCAGCTGTTGAAAGGCAACAGTGTTTGTTTATATTTTGATTTCATATGCAGATCTAATAACATTGCCAACATTTTGTTTTCTTCTTTTTAAGATGTTATATTATCTTAAATAGGACATTTCATTTTGTTTGGCATCACCATGTAGGGCAAGGAAAGAGATACTGGCAAACTTGGACCTTCATGCCCAGCAGAAAAATGGAGTGTCAAAAAGATGGTTTTTCCCTTGACACTACTATAATTTTAACTAACTTCATTCCTTGACAATGTACGTTTTAAAAAGTGAATTTTAATAAAGCCTACGCATATGATGAAAGTGAATTTATGCATTTACTTTTGTTCTTGAGAATTTACAACAAAAATATTAAACACTATTAGATTATTTACAAGAATAATTTTATGTCTACAACATTCTAAAGAGTAATGCAATTAAAACTAATGCAATGTTTATCATTTACCAATTTATAAAGAAATAGGAAAAAAATTTTCTTATTCATAAATTTACTAAACATTTACTAAACAAATTATAAAAATATATGATCCCGTTTTTTTTTTTTTTTTTTCTTTAAATCAGTCTCATCCCATGCAAGGCAGTAAAGTCACTAAGACGTACAAGCTGACAGGGTGTAGAAGGATTAGGAATATTAATAATGAGTGGAAAGAGTAATCGTAGGACAGGAGATAGCAATTTGCATTTAAATTTTTGCAGATTAAAGTTGGTTGGAAAGCATGAAGATGTTAACATAGAATTTATGGTTACATTGAGCCAGCTGAAATGTAAATTGATGAGATCTCAATCCCATTCTAGTACTGCACTTAAATTCAGAAAGTCTAGGTACTGGTATTACTGTCTCTTGTTTCTCCAAAACCACATTACAACCAAATGATAAATAATACTTATTTTGTACTTTTGTCATTTCCACATATTTTTGTTTCACATTTTTGAGTATTTTTGTATATATAAATGTAATTATAATTACATATAATTATTTACTCAGAGTTATAACTCCTCTACAATGACTTGGAAAAAAAAAATTGGTTTTCAAGCAGAATTTTTTAATTTTGCATAGTAGCTAAAAATAAATGGCAGAGAAATGTATTAATAAATACTAGATTTGATATAGTTGCAAGTAAAATAGATTCTGATTTGGTTTGATACGGTATTTTTATATGGATGAGAAATTATTGACACTTACTAAGAGGAACCTAATACTGCCACTCCCGTGCCTTCTCAGTAACCAGTAACATATTAATCATAATAATGATAATTACAGCCTTAAAGTCTGACCTGGAAATAATTCTGCCAACCAAATCCAGGATTGGCTGGTGCAAAGTACATTACATTGCCTGTATTTGGAATCAATAAACATGTCTTTGGAAGCTAACAGAATTATGACCTCCTTCAGCAAGAGCAAAGATGAATTTAAAATTTCCATCACTGACCAACAGAACTACACTCCTATCATGAGCTTACTCTTGTAATGGCCCACCTCTTTCACATTCTTTTGTTTCCAAGAATAGTCCATGGCATCAAAGTGTCTGAACTTTCTCGAGGACACACCACAGTGATGTCTGTCACTCATTTCATTTCTTATGAAAGCTGCTAAGAATATTGTGGATATTATTGCGATTATTGCAAGAGCCGCTAAAATTAGTTGTTGGTATTACTATCACCTGTGTTATTAATGTTAAGGGGAGACTGGCACTACCATGTATGTTAGGCAGTGTCCTGGTGCCGCTGTGGATGTTAGGCAGTGTCTTGGTGCCGCTGTGGCTCTCAATGTTCATAGTACTAAAGTGGAAGCATGCAAGAAATATTAATATCTGGGTGAACATTTGTAGGATAAAACTGTGGGTCCTATCAAAATGCCTGTTTTTCAAATATTTTAATTAAACCTTTTCCTTATTTGTTCATTTAGTCTTTGATTTTGTTAATAACACATTTTCAATCGGTAGCATAAATTCTCATCAAGTGTTTCTAATATCTTGGAATGTCGACCCTTGATATGAGTTTGCATCCCCCCCCTCATATACATGTCAAATACCGGCTGCCTGGTGAGTTCTTCTATCATAAATCATCATAAGTTTGCTTTTCCATGATGTGTATCCTGGTCAAATTTGATTGAATTAAAAAGCCAAAGTTTTGTAAATTCGATTGCAATCTGTGACAATGTAATTTAACTGTAATCACTTTTGTTTGTCATAAGAATAATTCAGAATATTTTAGAAGTCAATTAATCTAAATTTAAACTGAAACTGATATATTTAAAAGCAGTTGTATTATTGAAAATAGCAAAGAAGGGATTTAAAATTTAAAATTTTTACATTTCTTTT